CTCAAGATTCCTTGTTCTCAGGCTCCTCGGGGAGTGTGCCTGAGAGCTCAAGAAAATAGAGAGTGGTTAAATTTTTATAACCATGACAATCTTAAATCTTCCAAATTTTAAACACTTGAAGAACAAATCAACTGATCCATGCCTCTTTTAGGAAACATGAATTTGAAGCTGAAAACATTGAAGATGCTCCAATAACGTTTGTCGACTTTCTCATTTGTACTCACCATGATAAGATGACATGGCACTCTCAACTAAAATAGCACCTAGTCTAGCACCACCAGAACAGCGAAGGGGTAATTTTTATTTTTCATCTTGCTGATGTTCACTATTGTTGGTGCTTATACATGCTAAATATTACAGATCCATACATGTTCCACTCCATAAAAATCTTTTTTTTTTTTTATGGGGTAAGAGAATTGCATTAAAGGCATTAAGCAGATGCAAGAAGTGCAAAAAAGAGAGATACATAAAGACATAGTCAGCTCTAAAGACAAAAACTAGGCTAAAGCTAAGGAGCTGACGAAGTCCAAAAGATTAATAGGGCAATTAACAGGAGCTAAGTTCTGCCAACTATATAACCATAAAAGCCACTCCATAAAAATCTACAGCTTTATGCATTACAAAACCACAAATCAAGTGCCTAAGGTTTAAAGATAAAAAGTGAAAGGATCAGCAATCTGTCAGCAGCTTTGTAGGCACAATCTACACAGCAAACACCTCAAGAGTAGTTTTTGCTTTTTTTTTTACAAAAAATAAAAACTAATGATGTTTGGTCGAATAATTTTTTAAAGCTCTTAATTTTTCCAAAAAAGTTTCAACCTTGAAACAAGTGCCACCTTCTCCTGGAAGATAAAAGAGATCGGTTGATAAGCCAAACCATCTCCCCATGACTCAACCTGATAGTATCTTCCCGATGAGCATTGTGAGTTAGTTCTAGATTCTCCTTGTGAAACTCATCGAGATGTAGAGATTAGTAAACTTTGATATATAAATCTGCTCCGTCAAAAGGATTACTCTACAATTGCCAAGGACAGGAGAAGAGTGTTGAATACATAAATGTAGATTGAGCAGGATCACTCTATGACAAAGATCTACTCGGGACACTCCATCTTAGTTGGAGATAATTTAGTGTCGTGGAAAAGCAAGAAACATATGCGATTGCAGATTTTAGTGCAGTGCAGAAGCAGAAAACTGAAGTATGAGTGTATGACAGTGGCAACTTGTGAACACATATGGAGCAAGAAACGACTCAAAGAGAAATTTGATAGGTAGAAAATATAGAACTTTCTAAAAATATCATAAAGTACTTCATATTGTATCAAATATAATGTTTATAAGAAAATCAAACCCATAATTGACCATGGTTTCGTGGGGGAAAGATAATCTCAGCAGACATAGTCACAAAGTTTGCAATTTCAAATAATTAGCTTGCAGAAGTACACATAGAATCCCTCTAACGGTACCCAAACTGGTTTTATATGGAACAAACACGGTTCAGACAATTTTTGTGCAAAGTGTACTCACGTCCCACATCGACAAATGTAAATATGAACACTGAAGAGCGTAAATATGAAACCACCAAAGCTTTCATCTTCAAGCATTCTCTCAACCTTCTCTCCCGTTGATCTTCTACCACATTTTATTTTCATGATATCAACCAAACAAGGTCCAAAACACCAAAGCTATTTAGATCATTTGACCCTCATACTATGAATCAGGTTATTCATTCTGGGGCAGTAGCTATTCGACTACGAGTGCAATTTATGGCGCTTAAACATAAGTCCAGTACATCTAATATACTCCATGAAACTATTCAAACACGAAGGCAGAAGATACACAAAAAGAGACACTCACACTAGGTGCCTTCTTGGTGTCCCCAAATCTTAAAACAACATAATTGGTCATTCGAGACGTGGGTGGAATAAAATTCTGCTTGTTCTTTTCCACTAAGCCCCTCAAATCCACACTGTCAAACAATCACAAACCAGTCAACAATCGTTTCATATATTGAACAAAAGATTAAACAAAAGTAGAAAGACAAAACGAACCTAGTAGAGAAAAAGAAAGCCCTAACGGGGATATATGGCTTAATAGCAGTAGCACTAGCATCATCATCCTCTTCCTGCTCCAAAGCCAATTCTTCAGCTTCACTCAGCCCAATCTCCGAGCACGAAACGGCATCGTTCCAGTCCACAGTGTGCGCCGATGAGGATATAGAAGAGAGGCATTTGGCGACGGTGAAGTTAGGCTTCTTACGAGAGGAAATAAAGCCGTGGTTCACAACAGAATGCGATTGGCGACGGAGAATAACTGAGAAAGTGAGAGTAATCGGCCGACGGCATAGCGGAGAGCTCTGTAGGGTTAGGCCTGGGAGAAGGTGGAGAGCAGTAGGATTTGTTGTGGCGGAGCGGAGAGTGAAAAGAGTTCGGAAAGCTTTGTTCAGAGAAGGAATGGAGGAAATAGCAGTGACAGACTTCATTGGAGCAGCGTTATTGGGTTTCCACACAGTCCTCAACATCTCATTTCAGCCGCATTTGCGTCTCCAAACCTATAGCAGGGTGGGGGTTATATGGGGTTTTGTTTTCCCTTTGATTTCGTCTTCTTTTTATCTTTTTCTTTTTCTTTTTATTTTCGAATAAATGGTTTCTTCTTCTTCAAGTTTTTTCTTTTTCCCTTCTTTTTTTCTTTTGGCTTTTAAAACTTATTTCCCTTGATTTGTTCATATTGCAATACAATGAGCTTTTAAGCAATTGGGCGTAAAAGTACTTTTGAAGTGATGGACCTTAATTTAAAAAGAACAAGTTTTGCCTAAGTGTTAGAAACTTAAAATAAACAGGTAATGTGTTTGGTTAAAAAGTGTAAATAAGTAGGCGTAATGGCTTCTTGACCACTTAAACTTGTAGGACTTTTAAAAGCCGATACATGAACTTGCATTTTTCCCATTTGAACACTCCAACTTGATGTAATAAATACTAATAAACACATTTGACCGTTGACTATGCCTATATGGAAGCGGCGCAGCTGACATGGCTAAGTTGTGTGCATATCACGCTACAAAGGTGCGTGGATAGTTATTATTTTATTAACAAAGAAAAAGAAAAAAGAGACTTTCCCTTTCCCTTCTATTTTTCCCTCGTCTTCCCTGCCAAACTCCCCCTCCCCTTTCCCCATCCCCCATATATTTTACCATAGCTACTTCTAGCAAAACATAGAACACAACCCAAATAAAGGAAAAAGCTCAGAACCTTAGCACACCCCCAAAGCACTCGCGTAACTCCTTCCAAGATATCAACGTCAAACTCTAATAACCATGGGAAGTAAAATCGAAGCTTATGTTTACAGTCTTCATTATCGGAGCGGCAATGGGACACACTTGCTTCTGAGCCCAAAAGACGACGACTTCTTCAGGAAGAAAGTGTTCTTAATTCAATTGATGAGGAATGTGGAGTTTACCAGCCTAAACTATGGAAACTAGGGCTGCTTATGAAGCCATGCTCAGCCTTATTCAGCAACAAATTGGTGGACAACCCTTTAGTATTTTGAGTGAAGCTGCTGATGAGATATTGGCCGTGTTAAAAGACGGCAACTTTAAGAACCCTGAAAAGAAATTGGAAATTGAAAAGTTGTTAAACCCTATTTCGGACTAGGTGTTTGATAAGTTGGTGTTGATTGGGCGACTCATCATTGACTACCAATTAGATGGTCGCGATGATGGCGATGAAGCTCTTGATTATGATATTGGTTTATCAGTTGAGTTTGAGGAGAATGAAGAAGAAGAAGATGAGGAGAGTGAGCTTAATGATGAAGATGAGGATGATGTTGTGCTGGAAGCCGATGGTTCTGGCGCTATGCAAATGGGCAATGGCATTGAGTAAGATGAGATGCAGGAGACAGATGAAGGAATGGCTTTGAATGTTCAGGACATAGATGCTTATTGGCTTCAAAGAAAGATTTCTCAAGCTTATCACGAAGCTTATTATTTAGGCTGGTATATTAGAATTCGATTAAACTTCAGTCTTCATTATCGGAGCTTATGTTTGCGCTCTTCATTATCGGAGCTTTTGTTTACAGTTCGTGCCTAGGAGGTGAAGAATAAAAGAAGGTAAAGAGAAGAAAAAATAGAAATTTAATAAATTAATTTTGGAAAAGGACAGGGCCCACAAATTGGGACCTTGAACATACATGTGTTAACAAAATGTGAATGAATGGATGATGTGGCTATATAAAATATTAAATTAAATCCATGTCATCAGCAATTGAGCAACACGCATCATCACAAGTGTTTATTAGTAGCCATTTTTTAAGTAAAGGTATTCAAATGTGAAACACAAGAGTTCATATATCGGCTTTACAAACTGATGCAAGTTTAAGTGGCCAGGAAGTCATTTCCCCTATTAAGTAGTACTATTTTATGTTTAAATGACGAAAATATTTTTAAAGTTGTTAACTATAAAAATGAACTAATTACTGCAAGGAAAAAATAAACCAAGGAAGTATATGTTAATTGGGCTTTAAAATTGATTGAAATTCTTTTTTTTGGCAAGTTCAGAAGTTTCATCGATTATCAAATTTATGGTATATGCATTTTGCTCTATATGAATTATTGGTGCTCTCATTCATCTGGGTCTAGAAGTCGAGACACTTTTTATGTCATTTGACAGTTTATACTTCGTTAGCCTAGTTTTCCAGATGTTAAATGATGAATATTGTGCAATAAAACTGACATTTGTCCTTTGGAAGGAAAGCAAAAAAAACTAATAAAAAGTAATTAGTTTAAATTCATATGGTTCTTTAACAAATGTTAATAGAAAGGAAAATTTAATAAATTATAAAGATTTAGGAATGAAATTTATTTTTAAAAAAACAAAATCCAACGAAAAAAATTTAGTTGTTTCCAACTTAACAAACCTCAGAATCGGCGAATTAACATATGGAAGAACGCATAAATGGAGGAGAGGTGGAGGAAAGAAAGAAAGGAAAAGAAATAGGAGTATCCGAATTAGGCTTGTTTTGTAGGTTATTTTTGAAATTATGAAAAGTTATAAGGGATAGAGTAGTAAAATAATTGGTTAAATATGGATAGCTTTTAAGTTAAAAAGTAATAAGTTGAACAGCCTAACTTTTTGCTTTTATTGCTTATTTTGGTTCACAAACATGGTTTTAAAGCACTTTACAAAGGCAAAAATAGCTTAAAAGCCCATCCAAACACCCTCAATATTTTCCTTAACCCTTCTGCAGTTTTCTAGACCATAAGATGTAATTTTTAAAAGAATATGATGATTTAGGGGTCGTTTGGTAACTGGTTACTAGTTGGGGGTAAGTTATCTATGTATTATTAGCACAAAAAAGTTATTTATGTATTAAGAGTAGCATAACTCATACTCCTTCCGTTTCAATTTATGTGAATCCATTTGATTGGGCATAGAGTTTAAGAAAAAAGAGAAGACTTTTGAACTTATGGTGTAAAATAAGGCACAAATACTTTCTGTGGCTATAAATCATTGCATAAAGGTAAATTATTTCTAAATAAGGAAAATGGTCATTCTTTTTGGCACAAACTAAAAAGAAAATAGGTTCACATATATTGAAACAGAGGGAGTATCATGTTTGGTAGCGTTTAGTTACTTTGTATAAAAATCAGCATAACAAGTAAATCACAATGTACAATGTTTGGTTGATATTTTCTAATTCTACATAAATAAAATATATACTCCATAAGTTATTAGTCGATTTGTATACTGTTTTATGGGGACAGAAGATAGAATGACTAATAAGTATATGTATTAATACTATATGGATTACAGAAATGACAGATTTACCTTTTGTCACTTCATATTTAAATGTTTTTCTTTTTGATAGATTGATCTATATCAAACTCTTTGGAATGTGAGAATGAAGATAGGAGATGTTGATGTTGCTCGCTCATAGGCTCTTCTCTTCTCAATCTATTAGAGAAACAATCAGTAAACCGAAATATTTTTCTCTCGATCCAGCACGTGCAGGTTGTTATGTCCTCGAGGTTAGAAATTTCTAAACTCGTGCTTTTCCCTTTTCCTCTTATTCTCCTTTAGTTTTTTACTCTTGTAAATGTGCAGGGAGACGAGTTTCTGGATGAAATCCTAGATTTTTTTCAATATTTTCGAGTAAAGTTAAAGTTTTGAGTATACTTAAATTTAATGCGTGCGTTATTTTGTTTGTTTGATAAAAAAAATTCTTTCCAATAAAAGGAGATTCTTGGATAATCAATTTCTCTAGCTTCAGTAACTGCAAGATGAGAGCAACCATTTTATGTTTGAAGTGGTTTCACTTTTCTTTGAAGATTTAGAAACAACAAAGGTGTCACGGCCCTAAACCCGGACCCGGTCGTGATGACGCCTCTCGTGAAGATAAGGTCAGCCGACACTTTCCCATTTCAGTTTTTAAGCAATTAAATAATAAGAATCAAGTCTAAAACATGATAAATAATCCAAAAGTGAGCAGTTAACCGTACAGTTACAAAAAATAAATCCAACACATCCCGATACCGGGGTGTCACTAGTCATGAGCATCTATCAATATGCTACAAGTCTGAAATGCCTACTAAACTATTACAGAATAACTGATAAAGAGATAGAATGAGATAAAGGGGGAGAAACACAGGGCTGCGAACGCCAAGCAGCTACCTCGTGAACTCCGAAGTCTGCCGGGAGCTCTCAACTCGCGCTAGCAGGATCAGCAACGCCTGAATCTGCACACGGGGTGCAGGGAATAAAGTGAGTACTCCAATTAAATGAGTAATAATCATAAATAAATGATTGAGAGATATGTGCCCTCGGGGCGAACCAGCCACTCGGGCTATATCTCACATCACAATGGGTACCCGCGCTCACTGGGGGTGTGCAGACTCCTGGAGGAGCCCCTTACCGCCCAAGCGCAATATCAAGTCTTCTCGTTCCATCATCACTAGGCTCTCGGCCTCATATCAACAAGCCACCTCGTGGCGTACATATCTCAGGCCCTCAGTCTCATAATAATAATCAGGTGTTTCCTCACAACATAGGCCCACGGCCTTACTCAGTCGAAATCCTCACAAGCCACTGGGGTAATTGTAAAACATGATTCTCAGCCCAAAATATCGTTTAAAAGATCCTTTAAGTGTTAAAACAGAGTAGACATGCATGGCTGAGCTATGAAAAAAGTAGAATATTGCATGACTGAGTACAAATATAAAGTCAAAACAGTAAGGAAATGTCAGTAAAAATCCTCTAAGAGTTGGCACGAGGCCCAAATATGGCATTCAGCCCAAACATGATGAAAGCAAATAGATTTCAGTCAAATACGCGGTAAAATAATCATTCGGGACGGACTAAGTCAGAATCCCCAATAGTGCATGACCCCACGCTCATCATCAAGCGTGTGCGTCACCTCAATATAGCACAACGATGTGCAATCCGGGGTTTTATACCCTCAGGACATCATTTACAATCATTACTTACATCCGGTCCAAACTCTAGCCCGCGATGCCTTTTCCCCTCGAATCGGACTCCACTCGCGTCGAATCTATCCAAAATCAGAATCGCGGCGTCAAAATATGCTA